CGCCTTGCTTCAGTGTGTCAAGCTACATAGCTTGGAAGCGAACAGAGAACAACGGCTAGTAGCAAACCCTGATCGGACGCTTCTTGCCCACTGGGCGAGCCACAGCAAAAACGTCAGGCCCAGTTGCATTCATGCACACAGCAAGCGGTACACTGTGCACAGCCGTTACGCCCCCACAACGTAGATATCGTCCCGCCGGTCTGAAACCTGTCAACGCACGTGAGCCTTCCTCACCTCGATCGTGCGAATGTTGCAGCTGCCCCTCGTTCTCTGTTTGACGCTGATTGTCACGTTACGAGCCATGTCTGGCTCACAGCGTCCCCTTTCCGGCACGAGGACGAGTAGATCTGCGATGTCAACATGTTGCATGACGTGCATCGGCTCACCTGGCAACAGGGAGAGCGGCAATGCGGCTCAACGAATCATCAACACACCTGCCAGGCAGACACAGGAGGAGTCAGCCGAGGGCAATATAGAGGAGGCGCGCAGCTTCACGCTCTTCATCCGCAGGGCGTCAGCCTGGTAGATTTATACGGGCGACAAAGTCAGACTGATAGCAAGAAAGATATTCGGAAGAAAGATATTCCGATGTTTGCATGGACCGTGTCAGTGGCGGTTTAAAAGGGTACAGTCAAAAATTCACCTATCCATCGATCTGTCCATTCGTTCACAACATACGTGACTCACGTTTTTTTGTTCCGCCCTCCTGCGTATCGCTTAATTTTGCTTCTTTCGGGGGTAAAATTCGGTCAGAAGCAAAATTCAGCCAGCAAAGTACAGTCACCTTTTCCTTCTTTTCGGGGCTGGGGGCGAGCTGAGTGCACGGCGGGGGACATGAAGGGAAAACCGACAAGGTATCCTAGGACACGCTATCAACCCCTCCCGGTCGGTCGGTTTTTACCTGTCCTCTTCCCTCTCTCCGAAAACCTGTCGGTTTCGGTGCTCTCATCAGGTAGGATCTGAGAGGATTTACTTGGGAAACAGACAGAAAAGAGAGAGACACCGACCGAACACAGGTTTTTTCTTGTGCGTGTCTCCTATTTTCAGTCAAGAGACGCCATTTATGATTACTGCGTGGCGGAAATAGGGATTTTTCTTTTAATCCAGCCAGCAGGTAGCCTGAAACAGTCAGAAAAACACATCATTCAACCATTCGGCGTCGGTTTTCGGTGCGGTTATAGGGGAGGATGACCGCAATAAGCCGTGTCGGTTCGGTGGAGGCTTTCATGAGGATGGTCGGTCAGAAGGGAAGAATCGGCCCAAATCGGTCGGTTCGTTGGGTAGGACATTTCACTCTATGTCCCCCGCCGTCTGAGTGCCTCCTCCTTTTCCTCTCCTTGTCCGTCTCCGTCTTCTTCGTCTTCTCCGTCCTCATCCTCCTCATCCTCGTCCTCATCCTCGTCCTCATCTCCCCGCTTCGCTTTCTTCTTCCTGCCTTTCTTGTTGTTGGCGAATTTGTGATGGAGAACAGGCTTGGCACAGATTCACGTCACCGGATTGCACACCTCCTCGATGTCATGGACATTGTCGAGGTCCGTCACGGACAGGCCGTCATTCAGTCGGTAGAAAAACATGAAGGACACGCCCAGCGGACAAGACTCGCACAGGCCTTTGACGCAGAGGTTCTGCCGAATCCACGTCTTGGTCGTCCCGTTGCGTGTCGAACGGTCGTATGTCTCTCTCGCGTCCGGACCCTTCAGAGTCCTAAATACGCAAACGTACCCAAACGAAGACAGACAAGACAAGACAAGACAGACATGAAAACTATAAAGGGGCGACGCGAGAGGCAACGCTAGCGAAGATGGCGCTACATTTAGTCTCTTACTTGCTCATATTCCTGGAGACACGCTCGGCGTTGTTATCGAAATCACCCGTCAGGTGCCCCGTGATCTTAAGCACGTTTCTGTCAACCCATGCTGGTGGCTTGATCATAGCCTCTTCTGGAACGTCTCCAAGTTCTTCTGCAGAGGGTTTCAAGTACGCGAGAAAGTATAGAAACAACTGTGCAGAAAGACATAGAGAGACACCAAGCACATACAGGCCATACACACACACAGACACGGAAAGAGAGCGGTCTGTCACACAGTCTTGGCTGTGTCTCTGTCTCTCCCGCTCGTGTCTCTCCCACTCGACTCATTCGAGTGACCCGCGTGTGATCACAGATTGACTGACCTGACCTGCACCATCATGGACGGCACCTTGAGACCCCAGCTCGGCAGAGTCTTCAGGAGCTGAACGATGGATGACAGCGGTTTGTTTTGTGCGACCAGCTGCCTGACGTCGTTCCACAATATGTCGACGACCGGGAGTGTGACGTCCTTTTTCAGGGCGACGGCGATGTTGTAGAAGGCGGTCATTTTTTTTGCGCCACGCGTGTTGTTTGTCTGCTGAGGCGGAGAGAAGAGGTACTGCATAAAGCCCGCTGTCACGTTCTGTTGCCCGGCCTGACCGTGGTGCCATACAGTGAAAAACAGGGAAAAACAAGAAGAAATGAGAAGGTCTGCTGTGTGCAAAATCTGTGATCGACTGTGTCTCATGTAGAGCCCACAATTTCGATGCACGCCGCGATATCATTCTTGGGCATCGACGCATGATATCCATGTCGGTACACTGATTGCCCTCCTTGGCGGCCGTTTTTCTGCGAGCCTTCACTTCCTTGGCCAGCGACATGAAGGCGTTGAATGACTGCGAGTTCTCGCGGTTGGGGGTCAGTAGAGAGCCCTGCAACACCCATCAGAACACATCACATCACATCACATCACATGACAAGACAGGACTCGGCGTGAAGACTCATTTCCCTGTGACTCGCTTATCTCTCTGTGACCCCCTCTGACTGTGCCACCCATATCCACATCCGTACGAGGCATGCCCAGGCAAACTTTTCCTTGGTCAGGGACTTCCATGGCACGGGCGAGTCATGCAGGGGAACAGGCCGTAAGACAGGTCCTCGAGGATCTCCAGAAGGTGGACCGGTCGGATCATTCTCCCGCTCCCGTCGTTCAGCTGCCTCGGCGTGCACGCGCTGATCGTGGAGTTTTGGATGTCGGCCACCAACACGGGCACGGTGGCGTTGTCGCTCTTCAGCTTGTTGACAATTTCGTCCATTGCGTTGGCCAGGGCTGCGAACGCCACGCACTGGTTAAGCATTAGCGCCCTTGGCTGAATCGCACAAGTAGGGGCCAGTGGTTAGGGGCATGATGCTCACCCACATTTACGCTCAAATTTACCCTCAAAATGGTTCCCCACATCGTTGTCACAGCCTAGCAGTCGGCAGAAAGGTATGCCTGCACGAGACAGCCAACCCACCGCAAACGCAATCACGCCAAGAAGATTATCACAAGAGGCCAGGCCACGGAGACGGGCTAGGCCATGCCACCGATGTATGTGATGTATGCATGTGTGTACCTCTTTGCGCTGCTGTCTCTGGTCAGTCCAGGTCGTGTTGCACTCGCGGATCTTGTTGATGATGGTCTCAAATACTGAGCCCTGCCCGCGATCTTTCGCCAGCCACTGGATCGTCTCGTGTTGCACGTCTTGCAGGCCAAGTTTCGAGGGATCCCTCAACGCCTGCTTGCAGATCTCTGCATCGGCGTCGGACTGGCCAGCGTCGGACAGACGGCGACGTCTGTCGTCAAACTCTCCGACATCCCTCCCACGCTTGGCTGCTGTGTCGCGGGTTCTTTTCGTGCCGGAAAGGGGACGCTGTGAGCCAGACATGGCTCGTAACGTGACAATCAGCGTCAAACAGAGAACGAGAGGCAGCTGCAACATTCGCACGATCGAGGTGAGGAAGGCTCACGTGCGTTGACATGTTTCAGACCGGCGGGACGATATCTACGTTGTGGGGGCGTACCGGCTGTGCACAGTGTACCAAGCTTCAATCTGAGCTCGCTCAAACACGCAGGGCTACAACCATGAAGGTGTAAAAACAAACAAACAGCACACGGCGGTGCGTTGTTCCATGGTCCCCAATCAAGGGAAATCTGCAGACAGATTGATTCATTGGAACAACATATAATTGGGAGCATCCTGGCAGCGCCTCATGGTAAAGATGTTGTTGAGGGGCGCCATATCATCGCAGATGTCGTCATTTTTCGGTACCAATGCTGTGACAGGCCTCCGTCTGGACTATTGGTGCA